CTGGGAGGACATGATGGGATTGGGGACATGGAGGTGGCACTGGGAGACACCATGGCACAGGGGGATGTGAAAGTGATGCTGGAGGGACACAATGGGATGGGGGGACACGTTGGTGGCTCTAGGGGACACAATGGGACAGGGGACACGCGGAGGTGGCGCTGGGGACCCACCTTGACCAGGATCTCCACGCGGCTGTATGAGAATTCCTCAATGACGGACTCGATCCAGATGAGCGGCTTCACCTTGGGACCAGGGAGGAGAAGGGCTGTCCCCATTCCCATCCCATCCCTATCCCTGTTCCCATCCCATCCCAATCCTCATCCCGTCCCTGTCCCTGTTCCAATCCCATCCCGTCCCTTTCCCCATCCCATCCCAACCATCATCTCGTCCTTGTCCCTGTCCCCATCCCATGCCCATCCCGTCCCTGTCCCCGTTCCCATCCCATCCCAATCCCCATCCTATCCCAATCCCCGTCCCGATCCCGTCCCTGTCTCCATCCCAATCGCCATCCTGTCCCTGTACCCATCCCATCCCATCCCTGTCTCCAGCCCACCCCCATCTCGTCCCCATCCCCATTCCATCGCCATCCCATCCCTGTCCCCGTCCCCATCCCCACCCTGTTCCCATCCCATCCCCAACCCATTCCCATCCCATCCCATTGACCCGTCCCATCCCGTCCCCATCCCACCCCAATCGCCATCCCGTCCCTGTCCCCATCCCATCCCTGTCTCCACCCCATCCCCATCCCATCCCCATCCCCATCCCATCGCCGTCCCATCCCTGTCCCCTTCCCCATCCCGCTCCCATCCCATCCCATCCCCAACCTGTTCCCATCCCATCCCATTGACCCGTACCATCCCATCCGTCTCCATCCCAATCGCCATCCTGTCCCTGTCCCCATCCCATCCTTGTCTCTACCCCATCCCCATCCCGTCCCCGTCCCCATCCCATCGCCGTCCCATCCCTGTCCCCGTCCCCATCCCCACCCCGTTCCCATCCCATCCCAATCCCCATCCCCATCCCGTCCCTGTCTCCATCCCAATCGCCATCCCGTCCCCGTCCCCATCCCATCCCTGTCTCCACCTCATCCCATCCCCATCCCATCGCCGTCCCATCCCTGTCCCCGTCCCCATCCCCACCCTGTTCCCATCCCATCCCAATCCCCATCCCCATCCCGTCCCTGTCTCCATCCCAATCGCCATCCCGTCCCCGTCCCCATCCCATCCCTGTCTCCACCTCATCCCATCCCCATCCCATCGCCGTCCCATCCCTGTCCCCGTCCCCATCCCCACCCTGTTCCCATCCCATCCCAATCCCCATCCCCATCCCGTCCCTGTCTCCATCCCAATCGCCATCCCGTCCCCGTCCCCATCCCATCCCTGTCTCCACCTCATCCCATCCCCATCCCATCGCCGTCCCATCCCTGTCCCCGTCCCCATCCCCACCCTGTTCCCATCCCATCCCAATCCCCATCCCCATCCCGTCCCTGTCTCCATCCCAATCGCCATCCCGTCCCCGTCCCCATCCCATCCCTGTCTCCACCTCATCCCATCCCCATCCCATCGCCGTCCCATCCCTGTCCCCGTCCCCATCCCCACCCTGTTCCCATCCCATCCCAATCCCCATCCCCATCCCGTCCCTGTCTCCATCCCAATCGCCATCCCGTCCCCGTCCCCATCCCATCCCTGTCTCCACCTCATCCCATCCCCATCCCATCGCCGTCCCATCCCTGTCCCCGTCCCCATCCCCACCCTGTTCCCATCCCATCCCAATCCCCATCCCCATCCCGTCCCTGTCTCCATCCCAATCGCCATCCCGTCCCCGTCCCCATCCCATCCCTGTCTCCACCTCATCCCATCCCCATCCCATCGCCGTCCCATCCCTGTCCCCGTCCCCATCCCCACCCTGTTCCCATCCCATCCCAATCCCCATCCCCATCCCGTCCCTGTCTCCATCCCAATCGCCATCCCGTCCCCGTCCCCATCCCATCCCTGTCTCCACCTCATCCCATCCCCATCCCATCGCCGTCCCATCCCTGTCCCCGTCCCCCTACCAGCAGGTTCACGGACTCCACGACGTCGATGAAGACCTCGTTCTTCTTGTACTTGATGCCCTCGGAGCGCCAGGACACGGCGTTGGTGACCGTGGTGGGGACGCGCGAGCGGCCCGTGTCCAGCTTGTTGCCCTCCTGGGTGATGTACCTGGGGGGACAGGGAGGTGACCAAGGTCCCGGCGTGTCCCGCCGTCCCCGTCCCCACTCACTCCTGCAGGATCTTGCTGTCCGTGGTCTGCGGGAAGCCGAAGTCCATGAGCTCATCGAGCAGCTCGTAGATGATGACGAAGTTGTCGCGGACGCTCTCCTCCTCCAGCTCCTTGAAGTACTCGCAGAAAACCTGGCGCGGGGACAGCGGGAGGCTCCGATGTCCCCGTGTCCCCTCCCCGCCGCCCCCGTGTCCCCGTCTCACCTCGACCAGCTTGTAGAGGAAGGCGAAGACCAGCGCGGCGTTGCCGTTCTTCCTGGTGACGGCCACCACTGGCACGCGGCTAAGGAAAAAGCGGCATCCGGAGGGCTCCCGGCATCCCGCGGCATTCCCGGCGCAAGGATACGGTAGAGGTTGGCGTGCTTGATCCAGAGGAAGTGGAGGTGGCCCCGGGCCAGCAGCGGCTCCGCGCCGCCCTCCTCCTCGCGCTGCAGCAGCAGCGC